CGCCACTGCACTCCAGCCTGGGTGACAGAGCGAGACTCCGTCTCAAAAAAAAACAAAACAAAAAAACACAAAAGGGATCATGTACTTCTCATAGTGTGACTTGTTTTCTACCTATATTATAGAACATCATCATTAATGCAGTCAAGTGCCAACTTGACTGCATTGAGGAATACTGAGAGAACTGGTAAAGTGTTATTTCTGGGTGTGTCTGTGAGGGTGTCTCCAGGGGAGATTGGTGGGAGTCAGTGGGCTGAGTGGGAAACGTCCACCCTCAATGTGGGCGGGCATCATCCAATAACTGTGGGTCCTGGTGGAACGAAAAAAGGGAGAAAGGGATTTCCTCCCTTTTTCTCTCTCTCCTGGAGCTGGGACACTCTCCTCCTCCTGCCCTTTGGTGATCAGAACCCTGGCTCTCTGGCTTTGGGACTCCAGGACCCATACCAGTGGCCCCCCAACCAGTGGAAGTATTCTCAGGCATTTGGTCTTGGACTGAGAATGACACCATTGGCGTCTGTGGTTCCAAAGCCTTCAGACTTGGACTGAGTCATGCTGCTACTGGCATCCAAGGGTCTCCAGCTTGCAGACAGCCTGTAGTGGGACTTCTCAGCCTCCATAATCACGTGAGCCAATTCCCCTAATTTCTCCTTGTGTATCTGTCTATAGTTATGTACCACATAATGACATTTTGATCAATGATGGACCACATGTAAAACAGTGGTCCCATAAAATTATAATGAAGCTGAAAAATTCCTAATGCCTAGTGACATCATAGCTGTCAGAATGTCACAGCACAATGCGTTACTCACATGTTTGTGGTGCTGCTGGTCTAAGTAAAATTGTGTGCTGCCAGTCACATAAAAGTGTGCAGTAATGTCCTAGGCCCTCACATTCACTCACCACGCACTCACTGACACACCCACAGCAACTTCCGGTCCTGCAGCTCCATTCATTACCCCATCGGCGTCCCTGGTTCCAAGGCCTTCAGTAAATGCCTTATTTAGGTGTACCACTTTTTACCTTTAACACCGTATTTTAATTGTACCTTTTCAATGTGTAGATATGTTTAGATACACAGATACTTGCCATTGTGTTACAATTGCTTATAGTATTCAGCATGGTAATGTGTTGCATGGGTTTGCAGCCTGGGAGCAACAGGCTAGACCATATAGCCGCGGTGTGTGGTAGACGCTACCATTTGAAATTGTGTAAGCACAGTCCATGGTGTTCACACAATGATGAAGTCACCTAACACATTTCTCAGAACATATCCCCATCGTTAAGTAATGCATGGCTATATGTCTATTATCTATTTACTATGTATCTTCTATCTATCTATCTATCTATCTATCTATCTATCTATCTATCTATCTTCTATCTATCTTCTATCTACTATCTTCTATCTAATATCTATCATCTATCTATCTACTATCATCTATCTTCTATCTACTATCTACTATCTATCATCTATTTATCTTCTATCTGCTCTCTATCTACTATCTATCTTCTATTTACTATCTTCTATTTATCTATCTTCTATCTACTATCTTCTATTTATCTATCTTCTATCTACTATCTATCATCTATCTATTCATCTATCTACTATCATCTATTTATCTTCTATCATCTACTATATATCTATCTTCTATCATCTATCTATCTATCTTCTACCTATCTACTATCTATCTTCTATTATCTGTCATCTATCTATCTATCTATCTATCTATCTATCTATCTATCCATCTATCTATCATCTATCTATCTATCATCTATCTTCTATCTATTTACTATCCATCATAGCCCAAGGAAACAACCACTCTGGAGAGTTAACTGGATATCCTTAGAACTGAATGTTCTCTGTAACAACCTTCTCTTCTCAAGGCGGGGCAGCCAGCTGAGAGCTCTAGGGCTAGGGTTGTGTGGTGTGTGTGGCAGGGGCGCCTCACAGGCTCACAAGCTCACAGGCCCTGGGCAGAGGAGGTGGTGGTGGCTTCTCCAAGGGTGGTTAGGGACTGACTGCTTGGATTTGCACAGCTGAGCTGCCTTGGATGCTGCAGTTTCTCCTGGAAATGATAGTTGATCCCAAAAGATATATACTGAAACAAACACCAGTTTATTGATTCGGGCGCAACTGCCCTCCAACTCACCAGTACATCCACGCATGCAACCATCCAATCACTTTCCCTTCATCTGACGTTAAACAAACATTTGTTGGGTATCAATCTGAGTCAGTGCAGCGCTGGGCACGAGGCCTAGCAAGTTGAGTGAGACCCAGCTCCTGCATTCAAGAAGCTCATGGTCTGGTTGGGTAGACACACAGGTAAGTGATGGGCACCACAGGGTTTTAGGAATTATTTGTGTGTTAATTCCTCCATTCAGCACGTACTTACCAAGCACCTGCAGTGTGCTGGCGCTGTGATGGGCAGTTGTGAACCTTGTCCTCCTGAAATGGAAATCCAGCAATAGAGGTCAGGATGGCTAAGTCAGCTGGAAATGCTCCTGAGGAATAGGCAATGAGGCAATAGAAGGATGAAGGAGGCACATCAGCTCATAACTGTCCCATCTTGGAAAGGACACACATCACTCCTCTGAGAATTAGTGTTTTCGCCAGAATTAGTCACATGACCTCAACCTAACTGAAAGGCAGGCTGGGAAATGTTGGGAAGTACATGAGGTATTAGGTGAGATAAGCTCTTTCTGCTCCAGCAACCAGTGAAGTGGTCTCTGGTGCTCCATGTTAAGTCAAACAGCCTCGCTCATGGAACTGAATATGGAGGCAAATAATTCAAGGATGAAAAATGGTAGGAGCTTCATTATTCTCATGGCAGTGCCTGGGGACAGCATTCATCAGTTCTTGTCCCTTGTCCCCCAGATGCCTCAAGCTTCCTGGGTTTTAGTTTCTTTCCTGAAACTGCATGAATAACTTTTTTTTTTTTTTTGAGATGGAGTTTCGCTCTTGTTGCCCAGGCTGGAGTGCATGGTGCAATCTCGGCTCACTGCAACCTCTGCCTCCCGGGTTCAAGTGATTCTCCTGCTTCAGCCTCCCAAGTAGCTGGGATTACAGGCACCCGCCACCACGCCAGGCTAATTTTTGTAGTTTTAGTAGAGACGGGGTTTCACCATATTGGTCAGGCTGGTCTTGAACTCCTGACCTCAGGTAATGCACCCACCTTGGCCTCCCAAAATGCTGGGATTATGGGTGTGAGCCACCGTGCCTGGGCTTTTTTTTTTTTTTTTTTTTTTTTTTTTTTGGACAAGATATTGCTCTGTTGCCCAGGCTGGAACACTGGAATGCAGTGATGTGATTACTGCAACCTCTGCCTCCCTGGATCAAGCAGTCCTCCCACCTCAGCCTTCCGAATAGCTGGGACTATAGGCATGAGCCACCATGCCCTGCTACTTTTTACATTTTTTTGCAGAGATGGGGTCTCACTATACTGCCCAAGCTGTCTTGAACTCCTGGGCTCAGACAATCGTCCTGCCTTGGACTTCCAAAGCGTTGGGATCACAGGTGTGAGTCCCTGCGCATGGCCTGCATAGTCAGCTCTTTAACTTCTCAAGGAACTCCGTTTCTTTTCCATTAACTCCTTTATTGCTTAAGTTAGCAGGAATTGATGGAAAGAAGTTTGACAGATACATATATCTCTAAATCACTTTTGGTATACTCACTCTCCACGACGAATGAGCAGGTCAAATGCCGTTTGCCAGTCAGCCCTACCCCCTTCTGAGGCACTGTTGTGTATTTTTCCAATAGTAGTGTTTATGCAGTTATAGTATATAAATTACATTTTTGTCCACATTGTTTTATAAAAATCAGTGAAACTGAAAAACAAAAGCACTCATGCCTGCAATGTGAAGTAGTGATGGAAATCATTAGGTGACTTGTAAAGGAGGCATTTTGTTTTTACACCAAAAAAGCAAAGGCCATTTTAAAATTTGGAGAGTGCTGGTCAGGTATTTTGCAGAATGCCCCTCAATTTGGGTTTGTCTGTATTTTTCTCATTATTAGACTATAGTTATGAGTTTCTAGAAGAAACCACAGAAGTGAGGTGCTCTTCTGACATTAGAGCAAAGCAACATGGTATCAGCAAGTTCACCTGGATCTTTTATTTACTTTTTTATTTATTTAGAGACAGAGTCTCTCTTTGTTGCTCAGGCTGGAATACAGCAGCACGATCTCAGCTCACTGCAACCTCTGCCTCCGGGGTTCAAGCGATTCTCCTGCCTCAGCCTCCTGAATGGCTGGGATTACAGGCACCTGCTACCAAGCCTGGCTAGTTTTTGTAGTTTTAGTAGAGATGGGGTTTTGCCACGTTGGCCAAGCTGGTCTTTAACTCCTGGCCTCAAGTGATTCACCTGCCTCAGCCTCCCAAAGTGCTGGGAATACAGGTGTGAGTCACCATGACCGGACTCACCTGGATTATTTGATTAAGGTGATGTCTACCAGGTGTCTCCACTGGAGTTATTTTTTTTTTGAAAGGATACTTTTTTACCGTAATGGATGCTCACTGAATATGAGCCAGAAAAAAAACAGAATGAAAGAATGTGCATAAAATGTTGTAATTCCATCAGTGAAGATGAAATCTAGCAGCAAAGTATGACTAGAGATATGATAACGTTTTCTGATTCTCTGGAAACGGAACCTGCTTTATAATGTACAAGTCTTTAATTTTAGGGGACGTTTTTAAGAAAGCATACATAGGCACTGCCTGCGCCGACTGGGCAGTGCGTCCTCATTCTGCCTGTTCTGCCTGGCTTCCAGTGACCCTTTTTCAGTGTTTTATTCATTTTAAAGCTGAGACAGTAGGTCACAATCAACCTCTTGGGCATTTTTTGTTTTCGTTTTTGTTTTTCTGAGATGGAGTCTCACTCTGTCACCCAGGCTGGAGTGCAGTGGCATGATCTGGTCTCACTGCAACCTCCACCTCCCAGGTTCAAGTGATTCTTCTGTCTCAGCCTCTTTAGTAGTTAGGGTTACAGCCACACACCACCACGCCCAATTAGTTTTTTAATTTTTATTTTTTGGTAGAGGTGGAGTCTTGCTATGTTGTCCAGGCTGGCCTTGAACTTCTGACCTCAAGTGATTCTCCTGCCTCCATCTCCCAAAGTGCTGGGATTACAGGCATGAGCCACTGTGCCCGGCCTCTTTGGCAGCCACTTCTTGGTGACTGTCCTTGAGTTGGGTGACCATAAGGTCCAATCAGTGGAGGCTAGTGGGCCCACGGGCAGGATTATATGCCTCCCCCCACGGCTATAAAATGCCAAACAAAACCAACTAGCAAAACCCTCAAGGTGGGCTCTGCAGGCACTTTGAGGCTTAGAGCCTCCAAAAGGCTCAGTGGTTCTGTCCTGAGACTCTGTTATTGGTGGGTTTTTTGCTTTCTGTGTTTTGATTTTGTTTGTTTTTGTGTGTGTGTGTGTATGGTGGTGGGGGTGAGTTACACAGAGTCTGGTTGTCCCAGGAGAGGCACATGGAGGCCTGTTTTTCCGAGGAGTCCTTTTCTCTGGGTGCCAGTTATCCTAGAGCGATGTGGTCAAAGGGATGTTATCTGGGCCTGTGTTCCCCTGGGATTTAGATGGAGACGCTGTTCTCGATGAGGGGAGGGTCTAGGTAGGTGTAGGGCAGCACCAGGCCCCGGTTCCGCTCCTGGATGGCCCTCGAGATCTGGGCCAGGTGGCTCTGGAAGGCGGCGATGCTCCGCCGAGGGGCCTCCTCTGTGAAGTGCTCATCCGGATAGGTGCCCAGGGGCCTCTGGGGACCCACCACAGGCTGGGTGAGGGGGCTGCTGAGGTCCTGCATCCCAGACTCCCTGTCCCCACTATCTGAGCAGCTGCAACTTGCCTTAGCCAGCTCTGGCCCTAGCCCCCAAGCATGGGACCTGAAGTAGCCCTCGATGGGGCCTGATCCATGTCCCTCCTCTTAAACAGATAGCCACGTAAAGCTTATCTGCAGGAAGCTTTCGGGGAATGAAAGCTCAATTCGGAATTTGCAAGGAGCATAATTACACATTCCCCTTGCCACTGAGAGTGGCTCTGTATCATCGCATTTTGCCATTTGACCTTTGCTGTGAAATGTCCAAGGCTCATGTGTCCCACTGGTGGGTCAGTGGGGCCAGGGGACCTGCGCCCTGATGGCAGGGTTGAGTCTGGGCCAGCAGGGTAAACATCACACCTTCCCTTACCCCAATGCGGCCCAGCCTGGCCCCCAGCCCGACACTCACTCGGTCTCCAGGCTCCTTGCTCAGCAACCAGAGAGCAAGGATGACATCACATGTGGCATTGACAGGTGGGAGGGTGGCTATGAAGCCCTCACGTGTTGCCAGGCCTTTGGAGGTGGGTGGTGGCAGCTGCATGCTGGGTGGCAGGTTGGGCATCCAAGCACAGGCATCAAACTGAAGGCCGAGAGGGCAGAATGAGGCGGAGGAGCTGGGTCACCTCCAGCCTGCCACCCCAGGCGCCGGCCTTTCCTCACCTGCCCTGCACTGACGGCCGCATGCTTGGCTGAGCAGTTGAATATCACCATGGTGACATACTGCACCAGGGCTTCCCGGGTCTCCAGTGAGGAGGGTATACCTGCGAGGAGAGCTGGGCTGGGCTGGGGCTTCCAGGGGCCTGAGGACCCTGCTGCGGAGGCTTGAGGGTGGGGAACACGGGGATGGGGTCACTCAAATGAGCACTCTGCAGGGGGTGGGGGACACGGGGACGGGGTCACTCAAATGCATGCTTTGCAGGGGGTGGGGGACACAGGGATGGCGTCACTCAAATGCGCCTAGGGCTGAGTTCCCCATACCTGAGCTCTCCTGGTTTAGAAAACCCTTGGAGAAGATCTCTCTGACCCAGGCCTGGAGCTCTCTGTCATCTTGGACAGACTCATCACTTGGGTAGTAGATACCAATGATTTCCGAGACAAAGCTGCAATGCACCCAGGTTCAGGCCCAGCCTCCAACCCCAACCCACTCTGAGGAATGCCTCTGCTTAGTGTCATGAATGTCCGGCCCTCCTCCTCAACGTGAGCCTCCCTGGGGCCTCAGTCTCCTTCTCTGTCTTCCCGTGTCCCCGACCAGCCCTCGGCTCTCCAGGGACGGCCCCTCACCGTTCCACTGCACCCCAGATCTGCATCCCATCATCACGGTAGTAGTAGCCTGGGATGTCTTCAACTCCTCGGGTCCGGATATCCTCAGGCAGACACAGGAGAGAATAGTTCAGCTGCTTCATGTTCCTCTGTATCAACTCAGAGAAGCCCTCGACGCCGATGCCTGTGGACTGACGGACGGGACTCTTGGGTCCTGCAGACCTTGCTCCAGAAAGCAGGAGGTAGCACTGGTGTCGGGGAGACAGGCCACTGCTACCCCAGGACCTCAAATTCCTCACATTGAAGGAGTGGCCTGCCCACTCCCACCCCAACACAGCTCTCACCCTGTCCACCACCTGGCCCGGCACGATTAGCAGCTCCCGGGCGAGCATGTTGATGTGCACGGTGTACCGGGTGTGCGGGATCAGCAGCTGCGCGGCAGGAACGGCAGAGCTGGGGGAGGCCTGGGTCTTTCTGGCCCCGGACCTTCCCCCACAAAGGCAGCAGCCCTGCAAGTCACTTGGAAAGAGGCAACAGGAATGAGAGGAGGCAGCCTGGGACAGGTGTCTGAGCCCTGGAGTTCCTGCTGGGCTCCACCAGCAGCTTGTTCTGGGAGCTCAGGTGTGCTCCTTCCTCTCCCTGAGCCTCAGGTTATTTTGTCAAATGCTGGTGCTGATGTGGCTGAGCCCTGTGTCTTCTGGCTCTGGCATCCTGTGATTTCCTAGCCCCTGGGCGGGGAAGGCACTAGGAAAACCAGGGCCTGTGGGCCTGGCAAGGTGGAGCCGTCCACCAGAGCCCACCTCTGAGTGCCAGGCCCCAGAAGCTGCAGAAAGTCAGAAACAACCAGACAGGATGTAAGAGCACAGAGCAGGGCCCACATCCGGGACCCAGGAGACGTCTAGAAGGATCAGAGTATTTGAGCGGCGGCTGTGGGTGAACCCTGGGAGGGAGCCATCCTGCCCTTCACAGAGGAGATGCCTCGAATCCATGCCGTCTGAAAGTTAGCAGAGTCCAGGAAACCTATAGAACCCACCCTGGAGCACAGGGGCCTCCCACCCAGCCCTCCCCCATCCCGGAACTATCTGCGGAAAACCTGTCGGTCTCTCAAAGCCATGTTCACACTTTGGCACCTGCCACCCCCAGGTCCTTCCCTTCCTAAGATTTGGGCTTCTGTGATGGCTGCTGATGCCGTCTGATCTCCCTGAAGAAGGGAGCCTCTCCGGGGTACCTCATTTATCTTACTCAGGGCCTGCTGGAGAGCAGGCTCCGGGGGGAGTTGTGCCGGGAGATGCTACTGAAGCGGATGGGAGCTCTGCAACCCAGCTTGCACGGTTATGGCCACGTGAGGAAAGGCTGCTTAGAAGAGGCACAGAGCCATGGGCACAGGCCGGGCCACCTTGTCAAGCCACTGACCTTGAAGAGAGGGTGGCAGTGGGGCAGCTGGCGCAGGGTAGCCAGGGTGAAGACCTCAGGCAGCAGGTGTGAGTGGAGCAGGTGTGTGAGGGCCTCATGGAAGGAGAACTCGGCATTGCGCACCCAGGTCTTGGCCAGTAACCAGTCCCACTTGTCGTCAGTGGGCAGGAAGATGGGGCTGTTGGGGCCGGGGGACTGGCTGAGCTGGGGGGAGGCGGGTGGGGAGAGAGACAGCCATGAGTGTCTGCCAACCATTCAGTCTGACCCTCCTCGCCCCTGCCCTGCCCCTGCCTGACTGCAGACCTGGATGGCGAGAGGCAGCAGCGGCCCGCAGCCCGGGCTCTGGTATAGCAGGGTCATTGGGGCCGCCGAGAACTGAGGCTTCCCATTAATGACATTGGTATGGATGCCGGAGAGGATGCCGTGATCCACCAAGAACAGGGAGCCCTTCTGCAGAAGAAAGGACAGCTGGGGCTACCACCTGGTTTTCTAAAGGAAGGGGGTGGGGTGGTAGAAGGGAGAGGATTCAGGGCTGGGAGAGGAGTGTGTTTCGGGAGAGTGTGCTTGGCACGCAGAACACAGTAGGTCGCTAACAAATGTGAGTGCGTCCCTCTGTCTCCAATAGCGGAAGGGTGCGAAGGCACTGAGATGGGACTGTGAAGAGCCTGGATCCCTGCACCCCTCACCTCTAGTTCAGCCTGCAGGCTGGTCCCAGGGCCCAACACTGAGGCCACCATGGCATCAGTGACGGGGAAATTCTTTGGGAGGTAGTGACAGCGGCGGATCAGGACAGGGTTGAGACCATTCAGGAACTGGGAGGCGAAGAAGGCATCCTCCTGCCAGTGCTCAAATGTGTGCTCTGCAGGGGGTGGGGGACACGGGGACGGGGTCACCCCAGCTCCCACAGGCCTCTGCCTAACCTTCACAGTGGGTCCTCGGGATTACCTCCCCTGCCCCTTGTCCTCAGTCACTGCCTCTTCATCCAACAGCACATCAGAGTCCCCAGCCCATCCATCCCAGTGTCTGCCTAACACCCGCCCTGGATAACTCAAATGCAAGATGTTGGAGACCAAATACAGATTCTTCCTACAGCTCAGGTTGGTCCCATTGCCTGATATTTGGGAAATGGCAGCTCCATCCCCACCCGGTTGCCTACAGAGGAGACTGGGGACCTCTTTTTTTCTTTTCTTCTTTCCCCTTTTCTTTTCTTTCTTTCTTTTTTTTTTTTCCAAGATAGGCTGTGTTGCTGGGTTGCCCAAGCTGGAGTCCAGTGGTGCGACCTCGGCTCACTGCAACTTCTGCCTCCTGGGTTCAAGCGATCCTTCTGCCTCAGCCTCCCAAGTAGCTGGGATTACAAGCACACACCAGCATGCCTGGCTAATTTTTGTTTTTTTGGTAGAGACAGGGTTTCTCCATGTTGCTCAGACTGGTGTCGAACTCCTGGGCTCAAGTGATCCATCTGCCTCGGCTTCCTCCCTTCCTTCCTTCCTTCCTTCCTCCCTCCCTCCCTCCCTTCCTTCTTTCCTTCTTCTTCTCTCTCTCTTTCTCTCTTTGCAGGGTCTCACTCTCTTGCTCGGCTGGAGTGCAGTGGGGCTATCTCGGCTTAGTGCAACCTCCATCTCCCAGGCTTAAGCAATTCTCAGGCCTCAGCCTCTTGAGTAGCTGGGACCACAGGCACGTGCCATCACATCCAGCTAATTTTTGTATTTTTAGTAGAGATGGGGATTTGCCATGTTGGCCAGCCTGGTCTCAAACTCCTGACCTCATGCAACCCACCTATCTGGGCCTTCCAAGTGCCGGGATTACAGGTGTGAGCCACCACGCCCAGCCGGAGCCTGGGGACCTCTCTTGGCAGCACCCCCAACCTATCAAATCCCATTGATTCTCCATCCTGAGTACCTCTCGGTCCACCCATCCACTCCACTGCATTGCCACTGCCTTGCTGAGGCCACCATCCTCTGGTGACCACAGCCAGAGCCCCACAGCAGATTCTCATAGCCTCTTGCCCCCCCAGTAACTCCCCCTGAGCAGTGCATAGTGACCACATTATTCCCCTGCTGGCAACCAGTCAAGCACTGGGCTGAGGAAAGACCCAAGTCCTGCCGTGGCCGACACAATCCTGTGCGACCCCTGTGCACCTTCCTGCTCTTTCTCTCACCCTCCTTCTCTTGCTCATTACACTTTGACCACAGTGGTGTTTTCTTTCCTCCGAAGATGGCTGATCCTTCTGTCTTCAGGGCCTTCACACTCACTGTTCCCCGAACTGCTCTCTGCCCCTACAGCCCATCCTTGGCAATGCTAAGGCCTACTCAACTTCGGGGTCTCAGCATAGTTCACCCCCTTGGGAGAGCTTTCCTGGGGCCCTCTCCAGGGTACGGCAGGTGCCCCCTTTACACACTCACTGGATCCAATGAGCATGTTTCACAGTGTAACGAATTATTTGATTTTGAGTCTAATTAACACCAACTGGCCTGCTCAACTGTGAGCCCGTGAAGAACCATGCAGGCCCCTAACCTGGTGTCTGATATGTAGTAGCTCAACAAATGTCTGTTGGATTAGAAGGTGTTAGAAGGTCAGGGGTCCCCTCCGTCCATATTCTCTTCTGTCTCTGTGGGGAAAAGTAAGGTCTAGCAAGGGCCTGCTCAGGGTTACATAGCAAATTGGTGCTTGGTTTTTTGACACTCTGGACAGCCACAGGAGTTGATGCCCCAGGAAAGAGGTTAGGATCCCTGGCCCAAGCTCCTCACCAGCTGCTGGCGTCTTCCGGAAGTTGAAGATCCGTTTCATCTCATTCAGACTCCTCCAGAGCCCCTTGCGGTCCAGCAACCCCTTGATTTTCATCTCTGCAAACCTGCCAGGGGATGTGAGGGGTGGGGAGTGGGCAGGAGGCCCTGGGAGACCCTTCCCTGTCAGGCAGCCTTATGCCTCTTGGGATCCTGAACCGGCCTCTGGGCCTAAGATAGTCACCGCCCCTAAGGTAGCTGTTGCTCTGGGGGATTGGCAGTGGCTAGGAGGCTGTTTCCTGGATACAACTATGTGACTCATATCACTGAGGGTGGCGGAACTGACTAGGGGAGGGCAGAAGGCAGGGGTCATAGGGCATCTGAGGCCTAGGGGCAGGGCAGGGTGGGCATCCTCACGCAGAGCCAGCCTGTAGATAAAAGTTGGCATTCTTGGCTGTGGAGTACTTGATATTGAGGTCCAAGTCTTTCACTGTCCTTTTATCCAGGCAATGAGGCCAGCCTGGGTTGTAAACCTTCCACCTGGAGGGTAGAGAGGGAAAGTGATCAGCAAGAGGCCTCAGGGAGCCCCTTCACTAGGGCAGATGGAGTGGCAGTCCCCTTCGGGGGCCTGGTCAGAGCCAGACCCCTTCAGCCAAGGAGGGCCCTCCTGGGATCTGCCCTTCCATTCTACACGAGGCTGCAAGGGAGCTGTCATTTTCCCACAGTGAGCTGGCTCCCCTGGTCAAGGGTGATTGGTCCAGAGTTGAGCACCTGACTAGAACTGCACCAATCAGAGTCCTTTCCAGGGAATTTGAAATTGGGGCTGAGCCTGAGAGGTAGTCTCTCTCTGGATATGTGGATTACAGCGGTAAACACAGACTGTTAGCCATGGCCATTTTCCACTGGGTGGACAATTCCTGCCTGTGTTTCCGTAAGTGCCTCTGTGTCTGGCTGACAAACTCTTTTTTTCTGCGTGCTAGTTGGAGTTAGCTTTTGTTCTTACAACTATAGAAGTCCCGACTAACACAGATGCATCTTGTAGAGGGGAGATTATCCCGGGACACGGGCAGCACGGAAGGTTTCAGTTGCCTTTGGTAGGCGTCCCATAGAGAGGCAATTCAGCCTCCACAGTTTAGGCTTAGGGGCAGCCGCCTAAGGCATCTCTAAATTCTATTCTCAAACAAGCAACACAGCCGAAGACTTTCCAGCAAAATGGTAAAACCATGTCTCTGCAAACTTGATGGCCCCTAGCCAGTCATCCTCTCACTCATTCATTCTTTGATTCATTCAAACCTTGCTTTTGGGTTTGAGCTTTCAACTTCAAAGAAAAATTTGCAATTAAAGTACACTGCCACCAGGTGGTGGCCAAACCCTGCCTCTCAGACTTTAATCCCTCTCACCTGGAGATCTTGATTAAATGCAAATTCTGATTTCTAACAAGCTCCCAGGCAATGCTGTTGCTATGGATCTGAGGCCTCACTGTACGTATTATAAGAGCCTAGAGTGTTGGAACAGAGTTAACTGAAAGACAGGAACAACAGCAAGAGCATACATTTGTGCAAGCCTTGGCAGCTGACTAGCTACATTCTTAACCATTTTCTCATTTGTTCCTCCTAACCCAAACGAGATTGGTATTCTTAGTTTCTTTTACAGAAGAAAATAAGAATCAAAGAGATGAAATAATTGGTCTAAGATCTCACAGCTCGTTCTGGCAGAGCCAAGGCTGACCCTGGGTCTCCACGGACACAGTAGACCTCAATGTCTATTCCCTCTCTTGGGGCTGCTGCTGGCAGATTTGGTGCAGTGGCTTCCTTAGGGGTGGAATTCATGACACGTGGAGAATCACCAGGAACCAAATGAACCTGTGGCTGCTCTGATCCCAGACACCAGGAACAAAAGCCTGCAGCCCAGGCTTTAGACGGCAGATGAATTGGCCAGATCAAGATCTTGTGAAAGTCTGCTCTTGAGTGCAGTTCCTGGCTTTGTGCCAAGGGAATCCTCACTAGCGGCTCCAACTCCTCTGCAATCTCCAAGTCCCAGTGTTCGCCTGTGACCTCCAATGCTGAGCCCAGAGCACAGAAAAAGCCCCCATCTCACCCCTTGCTAGCCCTGGAGGGTGAGTTTCCTGGGGCTTGAGAGGTGTTTCTGCTCTACTCAGATTTGTGGGAGGATACAACAAGATGATTCATGGAAAAGTCCCAGGGCAAGGAAGACACCAGCAAAGGTAAGGCATTTAGAGTTTTTCTTTTCCCTGCCTCCCTCCCTTCCTTCCTTTCATTCTTTCGTTCTTTCTTTCTGACCGAGTTTTACTCTGTTGCCCAGGCTGGAGTATAATGGCATGATCTCGGCTCACTGCAACCTCTGCCACCCGAGTTCAAGCTATTCTTCTGCCTCAGCCTCCCAAGTAGCTGAGATTACAGGTGCCCGCCACCACGCCCAGCTAATTTTTGTATTTTTAGTAGAGATGGGGTTTCGCCCTGTTGGCCAGGCTGGTCTCGAACTCCAAACCTCAGGTGATCCGCCTGCCTCGGCCTCCCAAAGTGCTGAGATTACAGGTGTGAGCCACCACTGCACCTGGCCCTAGAGCAGTGTTTTTCAAGCGTCAGTGGCCACCAGAGTCATCTGGAAGGCTTGTCAAAACAAAAATTCTCACTTTTCACCCTCAGTGTGTAGTAGGTTGGAGGTGGTCTGAGAATTTGCATTTCTATACGTTCCTGCAGATGCTGCTGGTCCCAGGAGCAACTTTGATAGGAGAGGTGGAGGCAGTGGCTTTTAATCTCTGTCATGACCAGGACACTCAAGCTGCCCCTCATCCCTTGGGCACCCCCTCCCCCAACAGTAACCCCCTCCTCACTGGTACATCTCCTGCCGGGCCTGCAGCTCCTCCTGGCGCTGTTGCTGGAGTAGGGGATGGTGGTCTGCCCTGGACACCTTGGCTGTGGGAGAAGGGGAGTAGGTTGGGGCGGGGAGAGAAACTCCCCATTACTATCCCAGCCACACCGTCCTCATGATTGCTATCCTCTACCAGGTCCCCTCCTCCCATAAGTATGGTTTCTCTTACAGCAGGCTGCCACCTCCCCCTCCCCAAGGCCCCACCAGCCTCCCGCCTGTGCTGGCTATTCCGTGGCCACACCAGCTCACCTCTCCACTTCACCTGCCCTTCTCTCCAACCCCCAGTCCCCTACCCTTCCTGTGCTCCCCCTGCAGCCCCAGCCCGGCCCGCCCCTCACCTGTCCCTTCCTGCAGCACCAGGCTCCCCGCCCCTTCCAGCCACTGGTAGCAGGGGAAGAGGAGGGGGCCGCCCTGTGGCGGTGTCAGCCGGAACCAGCGGCAGAACCAGGCATCCGGGGCCAGGGGCCCGAGCAGGGGCAGCGCTGGGGGCGCCTTGTGCACGCGCAGCAGCAGCACTTGGCCCACGTCCTTCGGGAGCGTCACCTGGAAGTCCTCCTCCTGAGGGGAGGTTTTAGTATGCGTCAGGCCGGACCCTCCTACTCGCCCCCTTCACCTCCACCCCTACCCACTCCCACGCACTCACAGCGCCCGCAGTGAACTCCTTGCCGAGATTGTCCAGGGGCAGTGGGGGGCTCTCTTCCCGGGTCCCCACGATGCTGACAGACACTTTGTCCCATGTGCCAGCCCCGAAGGCCTTCCCGGTGGACACCCTGACCCTGAAATCGGCCATGGTGCCCAGCCTAAGACCAGCTCTCTACTGCGCACAAGGCTGCAGAGCTGGGCTCACCCCTGGGACACGCCCCGCTCTACCCCTGGTTATTGTCACTGACTCCAAGCCGGGTGGACTCCTCTAAAAACCGCGTCCGCTTCTGGGCGGGGAGGGGCGGGGCGGAGAGGCTGGAACTTGCAACTAAGGTGGGGGTGGGCGGGGGATTGGCAGCGCTGGGAACAGGAGGGACTAAGAATACCCTGAGATTTCGGGAACGGGACCTTTCAGTGATGGTACCACGCCAGAGAGCCAGAGTTGGGACCCAGTTGGGGTGGGGGTAGATTTGTGCACAGCACTTCTGTTTTCCTTCTTAGCCTTAGAAGTCTATGCAGAAATATCACCCCTCTTCCCACAACTCTTCTTGGGCCTACGTTCATTTATTTATTTATTTATTTATTTAGTTAGTTAGTTAGTTAGTTAGTTAGTTAGTTTTGAGACAGAGTCTCCCTCTGTCGCCAGGCTGGAGTACAGTCTCGGCTCACTGGAACCTCCACCTCCTGGGTTCAAGCGATTCTCCCACCTCAGCCTCCCCAGTAGCTGAGACTACAGGTGAGTGCCACCATGCCCAGCTAATTTTTGTATTTTTGGTAGAGACGGGGTTTCACCATGTAGGCCAGGATGGTCTTGATCTTTTGACCTTGTGATCCACCTGCCTCGGCCTCCCAAGGTGCTGGGATTACCAGCATGAGCCACCGGGCCTGGCCCACATTCATTATTTTATTTCATTCAATAATTAATGTTCAGAACTACCTCTGTGCCAGATGCTATGCTCACTGCAATGGATAAAGGCCCAGGCAAGACCTAGTGCTTGCTTTCATGGAGATTAAAAATCAAGGGTGAGACCGGGCACAGTTGCTGTCCAACATGGTGAAACCCCGTCTCTACTAAAAATACAAAAAAAATTAGCCAAGCAGGGTGGCGGGCATCTGTAATCCCAGCTACTCAGGAGACTGAGGCAGGAGAATCGCTTGAACCCAGGAGGCGGAGGTTTCAGTGAGCTGAAATTGTGCCATTGCATGCCAGCATGGGTGACAGAGCAAATCTGTCAAAAAAAAAAAAAAAAAAAGAAGTGTGAGAGAAAATAAGTAAACCAATACATAATTTCAGATGATAGTAAGTGCAATGAAGGAAATGAAACAGACTGATGTGAAGGAGTGAGAAGCAGAGGTGGGAAAGGAGGCCCTCAGAAGCTCAGAGGAGGTGAAAGGATCTGTCCGGGGAAGAGAGTTTTGTGCAGAGGAAACTGTTCCTGCAGAGGCCCTGCAGTTAGGAAAAGCTTGGCTTGTTGGGGGAGGGAAAGGCAAGAGCACAGTGAGGGAGGGATTTGGGGAAGAGATGTCAAGGGGAAGTTACGGATTTGGGCTTTGGGGAAATAACAGATTTGGGGTTTTCAGTCTGGAAATGCTAAGTTTGAGATGACCATTAGACATCCAAGTGGAGAACTCACATATGTGCATAGAGCTCAGGACTCCAGGTGTGCATCTTCGAGTCACAAGCACACAGGTGCGTCTATACCACAGGCTGGTGGAGATCACTAGGCAGAGAATATCCTGTAAGTGGAGAGGAGAAGAGGCACGAGCTGTGCCCTAAGGCCCTCTGATATTTGGAAGTCATGCAAAGGAGTGGAAGCAGCAAAGATCAGTCAATGAGGTAGGAGAAGAACGATGCTGACAGACACTTTGTGCCATTGTGTCTGTCACAGTGTTTCATGAAGGCCAACTGAAGTGAGAGTGACTTATCACATGGTACATATACACAATGGAATACTATGCAGCCATAAAAAAGAATGAGATCGTGGCCAGGCACAGTGTCTCACGCCTGTAATCCCAGCACTCTGGGAGGCTGAGGCAGGTGGATCACGAGGTCAGGAGTTCGAGACCAGCCTGACCAACATGGTGAAACCCCATCTCTATTAAAAATACAAAAGTAAGCTGGGCGTGGTGGCGCCTGCTTGTAATTCCAGCTACTCAGGAGGCTGAGGCAGGAGAATTGCTTGAACCTGGGAGGCGGAGGTTGCAGTGAGCCGAGATTGTGCCACTGCACTCCAGCCTGGGCAATAGAGCAAGACTCCGTCTCAAAAAAAAAAAAAAAAAAAAAAAAAAAAAAAAAGATGAGATGTTGTCCTTTGCGGGGTATGGATGGAGCTGGCGGCCATTATCCCTAGCAAACTAACGCAGGAACAGAAAACCAATGGCCATGTTCCAGTTCCTACTTTCTCAATTTGTTAGGATATACCAAGTGGTAGAATTGCTGGAGCATAAGGTAACTGTATGTTTAATTTTTTTTTTTTTTTTTTTGAGACTGAGTCTTGCTCTGTTGCCCAGGCTGGAGTGCAGTGGCATGATCTCGGCTCACTGCAACCTCTGTTTTTTTTTTTTTTTTTTTTTTTGAGACTGAGTCTTGCTCTGTTGCCCAGGCTGGAGTGCAGTAGCATGATCTCCGCTCACTGCAACCTCTGCTTTCCGGGTTTGAGCAATTCTCCTGCCTCAGTCTCCTAAGTAGCTGGGATTACAGGCGCCTGCCACCACGCCCAGCTAATTTTCATATTTTTAGTAGAGACGGGGTTTCACCACATTGGCCGGGCTGATCTTGAACTCCTGACCTCAGGTGATCCACCCGCCTCGGCCACCAAAAGTGCTGGGATTACAGACGTGAGCCATCACACCCAGTCTGCATGTTTAATGTTTTGAGGAACCACCATACTGTTTTTCACAATGGATGCCACATTTTACATTCCCACCAGCAGTGCAGGAGGAGGGTTCTCGTTTGTCCACCAATGCTTGTTACTTTCTGTTTATTTGATAATAGACATTTTAATGGGCTTGAATTGGTATCTCATTGTGGTTTTGATCTTCATTTCCCTCATAATTGGTAATGTTAAGCATCCTTCCATGTGCTTGTTGGCCATTCATGTATCATCACCTTTGGAGCAATGTCTGTTAATGTCCTTTGCCCAAACCATCCATTCTTAATTCTTATCCATTGCTAGGCTGAATTTTAGATTTCTCATGTGAATCATATGCAAGACCCACACGTTTTCAAATACGTCAAATGTTTTTATTTATAGATCACTCTCTTTTTTTCCTAAAGTAGTATTTATAGTACTTTTTAAATTCATATATCTTCAAATGGTCAAGTTTTCTTTCATACATCCAAAATGTAGTGTGATGTTTTCTTATTCACCAAATGTTAGCTGTACTTGTAGTCTGGTTCCAAACTAATCAGTCTGCTTTTAAATTTTAAGACGTTTATTGAAAAAAATTGTTTTTTTCTTTTTTCTTTTTTTGAGACGGAGTCTTGCTGTGTCGCCCAGGCTGGAGTGTAGTGACTCAATCTTGGCTCACTGCAACCTCCGCCTCACAGGTTCACACCATTCTCCTGCCTCAGCCTCCCAAGTAGCTGAGACTACAGGCACCCGCCACCATGCCCGGCTAATTTTTTGTATTTTTAGGAGAGATGGGATTTCACCGTGTTAGCCAGGATGGTCTCAATCTCCTGACCTCGTGATCTGCCTGTCTTGGCCTACCAAGACATTTGTTGAAAACTGGTAGGATCAAACCAAACTCAAGTGGTATAATTTTTAAACATTGGATTGTACATTATTGTAAGGGTACCACTAACCATTAAATAATAAGTTAGTGATTATAGCTCCTTTTGTGATAATTAGATCACTCTCATAATACAAATCAATATTGCAAGTATCCATGTGCCCAAATCCGGTGAGTCTAGGAAAAAGTGAAAATGCTTTATTGTCTATTCATCCTAAAATAAATACATCCTTGGACACTTAGAAATTTCAGTGAATCTATTTTAAAGGAAACTTTGTGTCATTATTGTAAATCGAAAATTCGTTTCATTTCCCATAATAGAAGGTAAGAATAAAGGAGAATGCAATGAAAACCGAACAGTGTAATTCAATTCCAGGTAGATTCCGTTGCCTGCGGCCTGCTCCCTGTTCCAGAAGATTATCTAATGCTAAAGGGGTGCTCAAAACATATCAATACCAAATTGACACTTTCTCCCTGAAAAGGGGAATTGATTTGCGGTTTTATCTCAATTAAACCTGTGATCCTGCACCTCCAAGGACTTATCCTGGAGTAGCATTGCTCAACGTATGGCAAGCAGACGGCTGGCATCAGATGTCTTTGAATGCTTATTAAAAATGTCAGTTCCAGGACAGGTGCAAGGGCTCACGCCTGTAATCCCAGCACTTTGGGAGGCAGAGGTGGGTGGATCACTTGAGGTCAGGGGTTCGAGACCAGCCTGGCCAACATGGCGAAACTCCATCTTTACTAAAAATACAAAAATTAGCTGGGCCTGGTGGTGGGCGCCCATGGTCCCGGCTACTCAGGAGACTGAGGCGGGAGAATCACTTGAACCCAGGACACAGAGATTCCAGTGAGCCGAGATCATGCCACTGCACTTCAGCCTGGGTGGCAGAATGAGCAGAGTGAGACTCTGTCTTAAAAAAAAAAAAAAAAAAAAAAAAAAAAAGCCAGTTCCCCAGCCTTGCCTCACATCAAGGAGGCAGACTCCCCAGAAGATTAGCCAGGGAATCTACATTTTACAGTAGGATGATTCTTTAGAACCACTGCCCTTGATCCTTTTGTACTTGGCAAGCCTGATGGTTGGGTTTTTATGCTCACATATGAGATGTGCCTGTCTCAAACCTTGTTACAACACATTACCCTTCCCATTTAAAAGGTTAGAAAAATAGAACCTTTGCCCTTGATCATTTAAATATTGTATTATGTTCTGTCCTACAGCTCATGATGATCTCAGACAGGTTGAACAGGAGCCGTCATCCAACCCCTCAAGATATAGATGAAGAAATCTGAGCCCTGACTGGGAAAGGGGTTTACTTGAGATTTAAAAATGTCCATTGAGTCATGTGCACCCCATCTTTGAACCCATGAATGATTTGGCTCCTGCCTACCTTTCTTTTTTTGAGATGGAGTCTTGCTCTGTTGCCCAGGCTGGAGTGCAATGGCACCATCTCAGCTCACTGCAACCTCTGCCTCCTGGGTTCAAGCGATTCTCCTGCCTCAGCCTCCTGAGTAGCTGGGATTACAGGTACCCATCACCACGCCTGGCTAATTT